ATTTTTTATGCTGTTTTTCCAGTTCACTTAGAAGTTAAAAATCAGTCGTTCACAGATGTTGTGATAATGTTGGTTTTTGAAGGTTAAACAGATTCAACAGTCATCCTTCGTTGTTATTTGTATCTATGTGACTTTAAACACAGTGTTTATTATTCTGTGTGTGTACATGCTGCCCAGAGGAACGTGGTCACACCGTTTAGAAGTCGCCTGCTTTCTGGTACCTTGTTTGGTAAAACCAACGAAATGGACTCCGTAACCACTCTATCAGTAGCTTTAATTAATGGACTAATTAACTGGCTGAGAAACTGTGATATGTTTTTCGTTTTTTGTTTTCCTGTTTGTCACATTCTGTTTGATTTGGATAAACTTGCGGGGAAATAAAACATACGCAAAGGTAATAGGCTAATGTTTCGGCAAGAATTTATTCAAACAAACGAACGATTGCGCGTCTGATTTTGCCCATTACGATAATGGTTTATTCATCGTTTACATTTGCATTTTCTTCAACAGAAATCCATGCATCTTTAATTGAATAGGCTAGTTGGTTTACCAGTTGCAAAACTGACCATGTACTGCATAAGCAGTTATGGATGGATGGTTGAACAGATGGATGGATGGATGATGGATGGATGGAATTGCGAAAATACTTTTATCTCATGCTGTAACAACTATACAAATTGAAGGAAAGGCAGGAATTGCATGACCAGTGCCCATTTATCGAAAATAGACTTACATATAATTCTGTTATGACTAAATCTGTGTTTGGAGGAATACTGTATTTCGTTATCAGTGGTATTTTTTAAAGTAACAGCCTACGCGATTTCCCACAATTGTTTCAATTCTCATTACCCCTGAGAATTACCCGGCGTTGAGTGAGGTGAATGCATGTTAGAGGGACTCCGTGTGTTTTTCGGTTACTTCTGTAGTTTCCTTCGGGATTCATGAAGTTTTTTTTTCTCTTGCAATGATTCCGCGCAACAGGTCATTCTAATTAGTATTAAAACGGTCATCCTACCCTGCGGCTTTAAGATGACAGATAGACCGCCCTCTACCGAGAGAAACTGCGCGTGTGAAGTGTTTCAGGGTCTCAGGAACAGGAACACCAAGTTAAACAGATCACATCAGGGTCTAATCTGTACTGAAACATACTGGATGGTATACCAGTTTTGGAAAGGCTTGTATGACAGTAATTTAGAAAAATTAACAAGGTAAGATTATTCGTATTTCATTATGCATCTATTACCCTAAACAATATAAATAATTTATTATTCAATATAATATCAAATTGATATGTAATAAAGTCCAATTTGCATATTCCAAAAGTACAGGTGAAATTAAACAGTATGTGTCGAGCCCGGATAGATTTGATATAATGTTAAGAAATTTTGATTGTTTTCCATTTTCATACACTTTCAGAAAAACCGCTAGGCCTGCTCTCTTTATTTGTCACGCTCCACTTGACTACCTGAACATCTTTCGTCATTTCCCAGATATTTCAGCTGTGCCCCACTGCCGTAAGTGTGTGGTTATTTGTGTCATATTATTTTAGAAAATCTCTTCATGATAAGATCATGGCCTTTTATCAGTGCCGGTGGATTAAAGAGATAGCAAGGCTGTCTGTCTCAAGGTGTTTCAATTAAAAATAGTGAATTGATATTATCTACACTAACAAAATATAAACACATAAAACATTATAGGCTAATATCAGCATTGGGTTTGATACAGTTTCTGCTCACCTGACCAGATCCGCATTTTAAATCTATATGACGTTGATTGCAGGGTTGGTCTAATTTAACTGGGACGGCCCCGGTGTGCGTATTTACCATTTGTTTTCCGTAGGCCTACGTAAAATCATTCTAGGTAAAGTCAAGCTTTAAGATTGCTCTCCCCATGTCTTTCAGATATATTTTCTTTCAATCTTTTGTTGATAATAAAAACCCATTAGTGTAATTAGTTATCGATTGGTTGAGCGGGTAAAACGCGTTTTTCGTGTCCCATCGCGACAAGTCTCCTATCGGCAGCTATAAATAAGCTTTGTGTCTTTAGCGACACCAGAACAGGTCGGTCCCACATAAATATGTCACGATCTCCTGGTCTGAACATAAAACACCAGCTAATAAATATGACGCACATATTCCGCACGTTACATCACGGTAAATTAGCTTAGATAAATGGCGATTCACAATCAGAACAGACCACTTTAACTGCAATTCCAATCGTTTACTGTGGCTGGATTCATGTTTTTTGCACCGCTGGGTACAAACTAAAATAGTTTGCTAAACGCATTTAAATGAGTTGCCCTAATGGTAACTCCGTTTTATTTAGCAGTAGTAGCAATGACAACAACAAATATGTGTGATGTTCACTACAGAAAAATCCGAATTATGCCTCCCCCACCAAAACTAAACCTCAGTAGAATTTATCCAACAGAAACTAGATCTATGTTCAAAATAACTGCAAATACCCTACCTTTAGCATACCTTAACTAAATGTATCTTAAGCTTTCCCAGTTGAATACTTCAGCAAGCATTGCTACTAAATGAGACATACGATAAAAGGACGCAGCCTTGCTCGATCTGCTTGGGCTCACGCTACGTTCACGTGATCATGATTCTGTACATGTAGAGAGACCAGATGCGTCTTCAATCCAGTGTGACACCGGATACAAATTAGTTAGAAATATAGTTTACACCAGGCCAGGTATAAAATCACGTGACTCATCGCAATTAAAGACATGAAAAACTATTTATAATCTATTATATTAGTGTATGATTATCAGCAATTACATGTGACAATCGATATTTCTTTGAACATATATTAAATATTTGAGCACGAACTATGTTTGCCTGACACCGTTCCACCAACAATCTCTCTTGTTACAGACCTGTAATTGGACAGTCGTTAAACAGCCAACAAAAATAACATCTGAAAACGTAAAGTTCTGATGTCAGAAATCCACAGCCTACAGTTGTGGAGGAGAGTGAGCAGCTCCCAGCCCAAAACACAGAGGGAGCTCTGAAAAGGCACACACACACAGACACACAGGTTCATAATTATATTTTTGTGGGGACTCTCCATTCAGTTCTAGGGACATTTGGTCCCCACAATGTAATATAAAACTAATGCACACACACCTGACCTGCCCATCTCACACATCCCACCCTAAAGCCATTCAGATGCACCTGAGCTAACCACAGCCACGCTGTGCCAGGTGCTCTGGTCCAGCTTTCATTCGAAATGCCTGCACAGACCTGGCAGCTCATTAGCCAAGATGACTTATAACCACTATGGGCCAGTAGGAGGCAGACTAACCACGTGGAGCTGGATTCTGTGAATTTGCAGGAAGAAATGGGGCCAGCTGGGGGGATTCTGGGGAGACAGTGGGTTAAGTGAGACGGGTCTCGAACCCAGACCCAGCAGTGCACCGGGACTGTTCACTGGGCCAGCTGCTGTGGCTCCATCCTCACCCTCAAACCTTCCTGCACGGCTGTGTTTCCGATCCCCCTGGACACCCCTGGCATGGCCTAGTTGTGCTCAGCAGCAACATTGGCAGTGGAACGACTGGCATCGACCCTTTTGAAGCTTCTGCCATCATGCTCCCGGTATCCATCTGTCCAGGGAACCTGGATTCTCTTTGGAGTAAATGCTTTGGAACCATGTACTAAAATGACCTGTGGCTGAAAGGCTCTGCGTCACATGTGACAGGGGTCACATGATCCGGCATCGTCATGGACACCCATTACTTGTCAGCGCATACCGGTGGTATCTCGCGTGACGCTGTCTCTGCATCACCAAACAGACGGCACACCTGATACCTTAAATCCTCAGGGACATCAGACTGCTGTCATCTTTAAAGGCGGCACCTTCTGTCTTCCCCGTTTATTTGAAACACCATCAGGTTCACACTCCAGCTGTCCAGAGAAGCATCTGCAGAAAAATCAGGATCAGTCACGCTAGTGAGCTTCATGCTGGGTTACCGATGAGCTCGGTGTGAACTCTTCATCCCAACCAATGTGATCCACACCACCAGCAGAAGGTGCAATGCCTAGTTTATAGGAGTTTTTTCAGTCGGGGAAAAGAGCGACGTTCTCAGTAGAATTGTCACATCTGTATTGGGCCCTTGAGCATGGCCCTTACTCTCCCCCCCTCCAAAAAAAAAATCCCAGGGCACTGGATAAGTAGTTAATTTATTTTTCACCTTTTAAGAACAAATGTCACAAAGTGCTTCGCATGAAGATGATAGACAGGCAGACAGACAGACAGACACAGACAGATAATGACCCCCACACTCAGACCCAAGGCTCTGCCCTCAGTTGGTGTGTGTATACAGTATACATATGTGTGTCACAAAGGAGAGAAACATGGACTATGGAGAAGAAAAATTCCAGTGTACTTCTACACAAGGCAAATAAAGTATCATTTCAAATGGGGTAGACATCTTGAAAAACATTAAAATAATGACGGCAACTCACTGTATTACACTCATGGTAATATTACCTAAATGACTGTAGTAAATGCTTTTACTGTTAGACATCTAAAATATAAAAATAAAACAGATCTGCTGACCACAACTTCAGTCTGACAAAAAATGCTAATGACTGGATTTTCTTCTGCTGTTCTCCTCATCTGCCCCAGGTCCAGCGACTCCGTGGCGTTTCAGCACCTGCCAGGCTACCACAGGGGGGCAGTACAACCCCCCGCAGACTTCATTAAACTGTCCTCCAACAGGTCATTAAAACAGCGGCACTGTAAAGAGGCACAAAAACACCAGGCCGAGGCCCAAAGAATCACTGCAGGTCGTCAGTGGGCAGGTTAACAAGCCTCTCAGGGCCTGGATGGTGCCACACATACACAGAAAGACAGACACACACACACACACACACACACACACAAAGGCACACAAACACAGACAGAGACTCCACAGCCCCCTAACACAGGCAGTCGGACAGCGAAGAGTTTTTTTCGGTCAGGGAAGACAAAAGGAGAGGTCTGGAGTTTGGTCAGATTAATTCACAATTTTCACTTTATTAAATCCAGGTGTACAAGAAAAAAAAAGCAGAGGCACAGATTAGTGCTGGGTTCTGCAGAGGTTAGGCTTAGGGTTAGGCTTAGGGGTCAGATCTCAGTGCTGAGAGACTCAAAACCACTGGGAGATCAAGCGGAATTACAGGCATACAGGACGCTAATCGGTTAATGTGCTTCGTCCAACAGTGTGGGTGTGTGCGTGTAAATGCTCTTAATGTCCGAGACTGGGAGGCGCTGCACACACAGGAAATGCATGCAGCTCATCACTCATTCCCCCGTAATCCGCACATACATCAGAATATTTGTGCTTTCGCGTGTATATGCACCTGCTTATTTGTTTCATGACATTGACACCAAAACAGCACAGCTCCCCTTCAATAAAATTAACAAGCAACACACAACATTGTTACAGGAAAATCATCCGAGAATTTTCTAAACATATGCAGTAGTGTGGGCACCGTGCTCTGCGTTGTCATGCTGTAGTGTGGCTGGTCATCCAAGACGTTCATCAGAATGCTTCGCATAATGCGCCTCGTCTGTCTGATGCCCGCAGTGACGTATCAAGTGTGAGTAACACGCCGCATGTCTGGCGGGCAGAGCGTGTCGATGGGCTGCTTTGCAATGCGGCTCAGGCGGTGACTGTGCGCTGCCCGGACAGGGTGGCGACTGAGACGTTTTTAACTCGGGACGTCTGAGTCTCTGCAGATCAGCTGATGGTTTTCCCATCATGCTCGTGGCTCCTGCGGCCTGGGGAGTGGCAGTATATAATCTCCACCCTCCTCCACCTAAGGCACAACAATGTCTCATAAACAGAGATAAGGACGAACAAAAATAATCAGGCATCTTCTGTAGCACCTGAACTCCATCCTAGGCAGACAGGAGCAACACCGGACATGGTCGTGTCTTTCAGTGAGGAGAGCAACACAACACATGTGTTCACCTAAGGGCATCAGTGCTGATGTAGAGTGGATGCATCCATCTGCCTGACCTCTGCAACTTCATTCTGCATAGAAAGACAATTTAACGAGGGTAATCATCCCAGCAGAGGTGGGTGGAGAGATTGAGGGACCAGCTACTCTGGATTTAAAAAAAAAAAAAAAAAAAAAACGCAGTGGGAAATCAAGCCCTGAGATCAGCATCCTTGCCAACACTGAAAAGGAGATGGAGGACTATCTTAGAAGAATTAGTGATGCCCCAAAGAACCTGGAGACCACGACCGGACGGGTCAGAGCAGCCGCCGCAGATCTCGTCATGGCCGGGGCGGCCGCGCTCCCCAGTCATTGGGTGAAGCTCTTCTTGATGGCCACGGCGGGGAAATGGGCGCTCAGCTCCTGGACGACACGCGCGTCTATCTGCGAGCAGAAGGACACGTCGAGAAGCAGCAGGCCGGAGCAGGAGCGGAGCAGCTTCCACAGGGAAGCCGGACTCACCATCCGGGTCCCTGCCGCACAGACACACAGCGGTCAGACCCCACGGCACTGCCAACCCCGACAGTCACAGGGACGTTCACAGTGGACCCCATTGACACCGCCTGCTCCCAGCGTCTCCAGGAAGCAAAGGAACAATCTATTCAAACCCCATGTGGATGGATAGCAGTCAGTACCGGCAGGTAAGCACTAAGCAGCGGTAAGCAGCGGCATCTGGGACTGGAGGAAAGTGCAAAAACAGGCCCAAGGGCTTCAGATTCAACTTATTTCTCTGGCCAGAAATGTCACATTTAAATATTTCTTTTCAAGAAAATAAAGGAAATTTCTTATTCTTTTTGCTTTGTTGTTATTTTTTTTCAAAAAGCATGCTGAAATCCACTGGATTGCAACAATTTTTCAGCATTCTTCTGCTAAAATACTGGTTAATTTCACACTCAATTTTCTCAATGAAGCATACAAAAAAACTCAATAAACTAGGTATCAGCCAGGGCCTCCCTTGGCCGCCACCTGATCCACAATGCACCGAGCCCCTGACATTCCCCTTACGGGTGGTAGGCCCACCTGGGGACAGTCCCGCGTGCCTCTTTCGGGCTATGCCCGGCCGGGCCCCACAGGTCAGGGCCCGGCCACCAGGCGCTCGCCAATGAGCCCCTCCCCCAGGCCTGGCTCCAGGGTGGGGCCCCAGTGACCCTAGTCCGGGTGAGGGATTATATCTCTCGGCTGGCCTGGGAACGCCTCGGCGTCCTCCCGGAGGTCTGGGTATCTCTCCTGAAGCTGCGACCCCCGCGACCCGAACCCCGGACAAGCGGTAGGTAATGGATGGATGGAAACTAGGTATCAACATAAAGATTTGTAGCAAAATCCCACAAGCCCGTCGGGGAAATTAAAGTGACGTCCCCGTGCCGACTCAAAAAGCATAAAATTAATATAAAATATTATATTAAAAAAATATTAATATAAAACATACTGGCTAATTAAATGAAACATGGGTCAATTTTAAATTTTTGCCTGCTGGGACCTAATAGGATTCGAGGGTTTTATTTATCACATGCAAGGTATACAAACCGACGTGACCTGCAGTGAAATGCAAGGTGGTCGACTTAAGAACATTGACAGCAGTAAGACAAATACCAATCACCCAGGAAGTGAAGGACGACTCACCCAGGATGTCGAGGTGCTGGAGGGCAGAGCAGCCAGCAGCCAGCTCCTCGATGTCCGAGTCACAGATGGTTCGATTGGCGGTGAGGAAGAGCTTGCGCAGACGGGGCAGCTGCCGGGCCAGGTTCTGGAAGCAGCCGGAGCTGCTCTGCAGAGTGGAGCACCAGCCCAGGTCGAGCTCCTCCAGCAGCCGGCAGCCGGACGCCAGGTCCGCCAGGCCGCGCTCAGTCAGGTTCTTACAGCGCCACAGGTCCAGCGAGAGCAGCGAGCGGCAGCGCGTGCTCAGCAGGCTGGCCACCGCGTCGTAGTCCTCGATCTGCGGGCGGCAGCGCCACAGGCCACATCAGTATACTCAAAGTACCAATCACACATAAGTTAATGTGCGGGGGGGGGGGGGGGGACTCACCATTACACAACTCCCCAGGTTAAGGTGTTTCAGCTCAGTGCAGAAGGTGAGGATGTTCAATATGGCCGTTTGCTGCAGTCAGGAAGAACATCCCCCAACCAAACAGCAAAGAGAGGATTAGGACTTGGTTACACACAGAAATCTGCCTGATAGACTATACAAATATAATATTAGAAAAATGCTTTAAAAATCTTTAGGTTGAGGGATGTGTTGCTGGTCAACCTCCTATCCCAGCCCACAGCAGCCACACGCCCCTCCAGTTGAGCAGCTATAATCAGTGGGGTACCTCATGGTTCTGTATTAGGACCATTCCTCTTTTGAAACGTTAATTTCCCAGCCTTATGCAGCCTGAAATGACACTCAGCCTCCTCCCTCCACGTCTCACCTCCACCTTGGTGCGGTACAGCACCAGCCGCCGCAACTGCGTCAGTTTGGCTATGTGCCCGAAGGATTGGGGCTGCAGCCGGTCACAGGAAGAGAGATTGAGCTCCTGCAGGCCCGTGCAGGTCTGGGAGATCACCTCCAGGCAGGCCTCGGTCAGGAAGTGGCAGCAGGACAGTTCCAGGCAGACCAAGCCCTGCCCACATGCCTTAATGAAGCTAGACAGGAAGGAGAGGGATTCCCTGCCCATCAGGACTACAGCAGACACCCCCCCCCCACACACACACACACACACAGCTCCACTGGACACCCCCACTACGCACAGTGCTGTGGTACAGACTGTATTAAAGGAACCACAAAAGAGAAACTTGAATTGGTTCACTATGTTTTACAGTGTAAAATATTTATTCACTGCACATTGTTACATACTGCATATAAAACTGCATTAATACGTGCTCTAATTTTAATCATTCGCTGAATATCTTCTCAGTGCAAATGAACAATAAGCGTGCATGCATGTGCACACACTAATGCATGTCAACACAGGTGTCCCTCAGTGTCATCCGCAGGGCTGAGCGGCGGACCAGGCGTACCTGCAGAAGCCGGTGACGGTGAGGGCCCCGCGGTTCCCCGTCCAGGACAGGTTGATCCTCTGGACCATGGTGCAGCACCTCTGCAGGTAGCCCAGGGAGGCGTCGCTCAGCCAGGCCCAGTAGGGCTGCAGGCTGAGCTGGACGTACTGCAGCGGGTCACAGCAGTGCTGCCTCAGCAGCTTGCAGGTCTGGGCCAATCGGCACAGGTCTGGCAGGGTCAGGTGACTCACGATGAGCTGGATCAGCTTTGGCGAGGCACAGTGAGACGGGGCGTCAGACCGGGACAGGACAGGCGGGGAACCAAAGATCCGAGGATCCAAAGCTGGGAAGCGTGCAACACCTACCTCATAGGGAAGCTTATCAAAGTAGCCATTCCCCGTGCCCCGCTTGGCGTCTTCGGCCTGTCTACCATAGCACGCCTCCAGTTCCCTGTCCTCGTCCTCGCCGTCACTCAGATCGCTCATGTCCAGCATAGGGGTCTTGTATAGCGCCAGGACGGGGCGCTCCTTGACCCCGCGCAGGATGACAGCATCTAGCTCTGTGTAGTAGTCCAGCATGGAGCTGTTCACCTCTAGCCGAATCAGATTGGTGGCGAAGCTTATCTGCTTGATGCTGGGAGAAAACTGCCGGGCCTGTGGGTTCAGGCTCTTGGTGGGCTTCCCCGCCCACAGCACCTCCCACCTGGGGGAGCGAGAGGCGCGAATCAGCGCGGGCATCATCACCGACACCTCTCACCTCCGTCGTCACCTTTTCCAAAGCCTTCCAGCTTTTGGCAGCTGCAAGTGCTTTCAAGCAATAAAAAACAGAACCACTAGACACAAAAACAGCCTCTTCCCAAAAGCTGCAGTAACTATTAATCAGTGATCTTCATAATGTACTTCATAATTGTTTGCGCCCTTTGCACATCAATTTCTCTCACTGGCAGCTTGACATTACATTGTTTTTACCCTCCAGCCAGTATATTTACTCACATAAATTTGTTTAGATTCTGTTCTTGTATATGCATATAAATATTTTAAAGACTTCTGTTTAGCTGTGTTTTGTATTTGTTTTTACTTTATTTTTGTCTGCATAGCCGTGTCTGTCTGCTCTCACGTCTGCACCTTCCGTACCAAGAAAGTTTCTTGCGCCTGCCTGTGTTTGGCGAATAAACCTGATTCCGATTCCGAGACGGCAACACCGAGGAGGCTACCTGACATCAGAAGGTGGATTCTGGGAAAAGGGGTTGAGAGAGCAGGCCAGGATCTGGACAATGCCCCCTGGGTGGTAGGTTTCCAGTACTTCCAGGGCAGTGGGGTAGACAGGCTCCTCGAAGCCCAGCTCGATGTAATCCTGGCTGTGGAAGGACAGGGGCATCCTGGGAAATGGCTGCGGCATGCTGGAGCACTGTTCCCACCAGGGGCCGTACATGCGGAACACGGCGGTCTGGGTGAAGTCCCCGGAGCTGGGGTAGACGTTGGGCAGGCCAGCCAGGTTCCACATAGTGTAGGACATGCTGTTCTCACTGCCATAGTGGGAGCTGAAGTCCAGCACCTCCTTAGCATACTGCTTCACCTCCACGCTCAGGGGCAGCGTGCGCTGGTTGCATTCCACGGCCCGCCGGCTGGTGAGAACCTCGCCCCGGGTTCCGCTTCTGGACCGGCGCCGCAGACAGATATAGTAAAACATGCCCAGTAGGGTTAGCATACGGAAGGACTGGCCCGGGACCGGGGAAAGGCCAGAAGCAGGACCAGGCAGCACTCTGCAATAATCAGCTCAGGCTACAGGATCAAACGCATGCAGCACCTGCAGGTCAGACAGAGAGAGACAGAGCGTGACAGCAACAAGCTCACGAGCATCAGTCACCGCAATGACTGGCCAGAAGGGGGCAATTTCCGTAAACCAGCGTGAAGATATGCAATACCACTGTCATTAAGTCGATTTCATCAGGGAATGTGGAGGTGTGACATTAGCTGTCCTGCTAAACCCAAGAGAGTAATGAATGCAAACGTCTCTGTGGACTGGTGAGAAACACAGACGCACACGGATGTAGTTTTCACACCAGGGAAATCACAGACATTAAGTTATTGTTAATATCACCCTAGCAATAAGAATTTGAAGCTCAAGCATTAGGCGTTCATGCACTAGTTATGTGTCTATTATTGACCACGTTGTAACTGCGGGAAAAGTATCTGTTTCCAAAAAAAAAAAAAATTGATCTCTCTGACATTAACTACACATCATTAGTTTACGCACAATAAGTGCATCAAACAGCCTTCAGCAGATATGCTGTCATCTCCATTTGCGTTTTATCAAATTTTGTTCTGCCGGCAAGGCATGTTTCAGCGAGATCTACAGAAGAAAAAAAAAAAAAAAAAACTGGAGAGGACTCGATTGAGTCTATACGGGGATTCTCCATTACATTTTGGTTCAAGCGCTGCTTTATGTTACCCGTCAGGTGTTGCTCACATTTAGATTGTCATCGGCACCTTTATGGGCGAGGAAGACCACCATCACCATCGCGGTATTCAGCCTGCCAGCTATGAACTACCACCTGATTGACAGATTATAAACGGGTAGCCGATACAGAACCGGCCCGAGCGGGTCTTCACCGACAAGACGCGTTATGGCATCTACTGCAAAGTATAGCATGGGTCCCCTTCTCCTCGCTCATAAAGACGGGCGCAGCCATCGCGTCCAATTTTGCTGAGACGTAAAATTTGGCTGCTGGGCTAAGTAACGTCAGGCGTCCCGCAGGTGCTATATAAATAAACTTGACTTGCTCACAAAGGTGGATGACGGGGTTATAAACTAACAATTAAGCAGCAGAAGTACTGCAGCTAAAGTACTATAACATTTTATTGACATTACTTACGGTATATCCAAATACCAGTGAAAATAATACAGGCGCCTCCGTGACATTTCTAAATCCATGTAGAAAACGCAAGCGATCGCATGGTACCATCATTTCCCGTCCGAACCGTAAACATCCGGCTCCTCGCCCTTGCCCTTGGGGTTTATGGGAAATGTAGTTCCAATGTTATTATTCCAAGTATGTTAACTGTATCAGCTCAGACTCTTGATCGAATGTATTGTTAATAGTTGAGAACATCAGAATTGGCTTCTGTTAAAATTTATTATAGACTTAAATAAGTCTGTACCATTTTAACAGCATCGAACATCGATAATCAATTATAAGGACTATTATTAAGTATTATATATAAGGTATTATTTTTACACTTACACTTATAACTCTGCTCATCTGCTGGTCGGAGTGGTGGGATACCTGGATTTCATTGGTATTTCTCTTGTATATATCCCTGCTTTTTCGAAGAGGAAATAATTCAGTCGCAGCTCTGAATGTTTGTGTCGATTTTGGGGGATTAGTTGTAACAGTAAAATCCTTGAAAACATCTTTTAGTGACAAAATAAAATATTATACGCAATACATAAATGGGTGTTACGTTGTGTGCAAAGACAAGACTGCCGTTTTTCTTATCAAAGCCCACCATTAGGACACACCTAATCTCTCACATTGGTTATGGACAACAAACTGTTCCGATAAACCATGACCAGCAGGGAGTTTTGATGTTACTTACACCACTGCCAATTAACAGCAGTTAGAGGTGAGATGTGGCTCTGCAGGTTAGGACCCATGATTGAGAAATCGGTGGATAGCTGGCAGAGTTGGCAGAGCAGGGACCTGCAGCTACAAGTGACTGGGGAGTGGGCAGTACCCAGGCAGATCATCTGCCCACCCAACAGAGACAGTTCAAATTTAACCAATTGTTTGATGATTTAATAGAATCACTATATTAGAAAACAACACCCCCAACCCCCACAAATTCAAACACTGGTGCCGATTAGCATATCCAAATTCTGATTCTAGGTTGGCATCGCGGATCATGGCACTGCCACCGGGACAGAATGATGCCCCACTGAGGTCCTTAGCTCCGGGAACTGGCAGACCCTGCTCTCTGCTCCTCATGTGTACTTGCTTTGCGTGATTTTTAGTGCCGGCTAAATTAGTAAATGTAAAATACGGGGGGGGGGGGGGGGGGGGGGGGGGGGGCACATGAAAGCAGCCCCCACACATCAGTTCTGTTTGTTGGACCGCCCTCTATAGTTCCACCACATGCAGTTACACGAGTAAATGGCAATTTGAGTCCATTTATAAGCGTGAAAAAAATCCATTGTAAGTGTAATCGCAATGGCGGTCGCGAGTGTCTACTATTGTTATTTTTTGAGGGTCGCGGGCTGAACGGTTTGGAAACCCATGTTGTAGGATACTTGATTACTTATCGAGATTTCTCACTTATAAACAACAGGGCACCTGTGTGGTTCATAGTGGTGATGATTTTGGGGGTGTTCTCTGCAGCTAACACAATAGCCGTGCCAGGTCTGGCCCTCTGGGCTTTACCATTTTGAATTGGCACCTTGGCCTTGTTGGCGTGAAACACCTATTTGCATATGTGTGCCTGCATATGTTTGGCTTTGAGGTTTTGCGTGGCAGCTCTGCTCTAGCTCGTCCTCCCGGTAACCATCACTTTACAAAATGAAAGCCTAATTGTTTTGAAATAGCAAATAGAACATTTGTCAGCTAAAATGCTGAGGAAGTGAGGTCATGTGACATTTGCTGGCCACACAGAGCACGTGCGGTTCCCCGGGGGTCATCCTCCGTATTGTTACAGCTCCGTCACTCCACCATTAACGGAGAGAGTAAAATATGCATGGACCTGCTCTTGGCTGGCATTTGTGTAGATGAAGGATCTGTCCAGCAACAGGCACACTGTTGATTTGAGCAGGCTTTGTCTACACAAAGAGCAAGCGGTCTCCACGGAGTCCTGACTGGCCAATCTCTCATTAGCGAGAGGCCTGCACCACAATGGGGCCAGATAATTACCCTGAATCACTCAAACGTTTAGCCCAAAACACACCTTACGTCACCACAACTCTATTTCAATGGTTATTTCATGAAAAATGCCACCTGGCTTTTCTATATAAAACACAAAAGAATAAACGCTTGGTAACTTTTTAAACAAAGAGCATTAGATTAATCTTATTATCTCATTAAAATCCTATTAAAACTCTATTGAAACTGTGATCATTTGACTATTCAGTAAATGTAAAAGACATCACATAGCCTGCAAATGGAAATAAAGTATGCCTCTGCAGAGGAATCAAATACCATTTAATGAAATAAACGTTTACTGTTCAAAATGAATTTTATCAAAAAGTAAAAATTTATGTCGGAAAAAAAAAGCTAATCTTCCATCCATACACCTTCCACATCCTTCACCCCTAACCCCCCATATTTTGCAAGTCAGGTTTCTAAGACAAATAGTCAGAAACTGGATCAAACGATTTAGAGGAGCTAAGGAGGCAGAAGGAAACTGAAAAATGCCGTCAGTGATACTGATGAGGTTCGCACACACATATTATGGCCATGAATAAGAAAACACAGAAAAACACAGGCAGAAAGAATGTGGCTATAAAGACTGTGGATCATTCTTTCAACCCAGTTGACTTTAATATTCTGAGTGCAGTAGGTTGGACCAGACCCAGCCGGGTGTCATTCATGAGGTTTAGTACTGAAAGCACACACACTCTAATCTGGATACATAATATGGAGGCACACGCACAAGGGGTCGGCGATATGACGCCCAATGTGTACACACACCCTGCCAAATAATTAATCACCAACGCGTGGCTCGTTGGAAGGCCTGACGAATCGTGGAGGCTTCACGTCCACATATCACACAGCTTCTCGCACCATCCCCTCTCCAGGCTCCCAAATCTGAGAGCGAAGGAGCAGTGGACCTGGAAAACGGACCCAGTGCACATCAACAACCAGGCAGCGTCGTCCCAGAGCAGAAGTATAAAGGAATGAAGGCACAGGGGGACAAAAAGCAGTTTCTCACACACTTACCGCCGTAGCTGCAAAAATACTGCTAAAAATACACGGAAGGCTAGTGTTTGAATCATAAATATATGGGTGTATTGGACAGCTGCTGCCAATACTGGGGTGACTTTACGAGAGCTTTTGAAGTGGCTAAGTTGACACACTGATAGATATAAAATCATAGTTTTACCCAAACATGAAGACCATTTAAGCACCATTTTTTGACTGCCTGAGACTTTTGCACTGTACTGTACAATATATACTATGTTAATATAGTTATTTTCTCAGAATTTTTTTTTTTTAGGCTTTATTTAACCAGGTTTGTCCCATTGAGATCACAGATCTCTTTTGCAAGGGAGACCTGGCCAAGGTAGCAGCAACACAATGTTAGTGCAGAGTCTTACACAATATTACAAAAATACATAATCAGATTATACATTTACATACAGACAACCTAATGAATGAACAACAGAATGGATCTATCTGTCCATTTATGCTCCACCCTGTTCAGCGCCTCACTGGGCCTGGAGGTTCTCGCACGCGGCACAGAGCACAGGGCAGAGGTTCACCCTGGACAGGATGTCTGAGTGGCAGTATAGGATCCTATAGGCCAGTGTTTCTCAACCCAGTCCTCAGCGAACCCCAGCCAGTCCACGTTTTTGCTCCCTCCCTGCTCCCAGCGCCGCACCTGTACCAGCTATTCAGTGTTCCTGATTTGCTGGGAGCTGGGTTGGGAGCAAAAACGTGGACTGGCTGGGGTTCGCTGAGGACTGGGTTGAGAAACACTGCTATAGGCATTATCCAGAGTCATGCAGTAAGAGTGGTGGACTCCCTGTCTGCTGTCGTTCCCTGGGTTCATTCCTCCAAAACTACGTAAAGTCCTACACCTTCGGTGGATTGCAATAGTAGCTCACGCCATTTTGAGACTGGCCTATAAGAACACGAGGGGACTGAACTGCATAAACCACCAGAATTGGGGTGGTGTTCCATTAATTAGGTCGAAGGAGTAAATGCAACCTGTATTTAAATGTTGGAGACATAGTCTGATGTCCACAGGAGGAACAGCTGAGGTGCTAAAGAGGGCAGGCCTCGGTTTGACAGGCGAGCAGTGCCTGTGAATGATGCCCCCCATTAGCTGGATGTAGGTCTCTCTACAGCCACTGTTCCCTGACTGTTTGGCAGTGCAGAGATAGAGCGACGCTTATGCTCTGCATGCAGACCATCATCCATCACTAAGTGCATCTGTCTGTCCCTGTGAAAGCACTACTCTCCTGTCCTTACTGATAAATTATTCCCCAGAAGCTTGGTTCTAAACACCGAGCAAGAAACTTTAATGTCCTTCCAACTTTCCGCCCTCTAAATCACTACTAATCAGTCAATACGGTTTTCTAGCAAATGGTAATAATTATTTGACTGTGATTATTGGCAATGAAAAGACATTCCGCTTTACAATGGCTCTCTGAAGGGCTCATCCAGGACTTTCAGAATGTGCCTCTGAACAGAGACCTTCCGCAGTCTGTGAAGTCAGACGAAAAATACTAACTATGTTGCGATCTTTGCATGGTCTCACATGAGCATGATATTTGGGGCAATAGTACCCTCTTCTAAAGGCTTCTCCAGATCTCCACGCACCAGCCAAACGTGACCACCAGAGGGCAGAACGTTATCATGCATCTCTGCATGTATGTGCTCCGCTCACCACAGAGAGAGCCCTTCTTCAGGACTCCCTGTCGGTGGGACGTTTCTGTTTTTAAACACACGGTCTCCACACGGTTTACAGACCCAGGCAGGAGTGATGCAGACGTACTTTGGACGTCTCTCCCACCACCGCAGCCTGAGCTGTCACTCTGACTGACACGAGGAGCCAATTAAAAGCCAAGTTCACTAATACCGTTCTGTGGTAAATCTACAAGTGTATTAGGAAACGTCTATTAAAATAACAGGCTGTAGATTGTCATTAAAACAGGTGCAATGGCAGCTAATTATAAGTGTAATGAAGTGAGACTGTTCACTCCAGTCAGCTCATCAGCCCTCTGCTGGGACTAAGCGACATGCCTGTTCTACAGCCGGCTACTCTCGAGTCTCGTTTGGGCTATACGCT